GGCCACCGCCCATTGGCCCGCGGCTGAACGCATGGGCGCGGTCCCGCCCCACCGCCCCCCTACCGTTTAGCTCCGGCTCCTCCCCAGCCATTGGGCCTGCTGGCTCCCGGAGCCTGAACTGCCGGCTCGGCCCCCCCCTCAGCTCCAGGGCCACAATTGGCGGAACTGTGCCCCGCCCGGGCGCTGATTGGAAGACGGGCTTCCGGGCCCCGCCTCTCGCGTCCAAATTCCGTTAGCAGGTTCGGTTGCTTCTGAATTTCCTTTGCCCAAGGAGCGGGACCAACGGGAGCGGCCCTCTGACCGGCTCCTCCTCCTGTGAGGCGGGACCGGAAAAAGACTGGCTGTTCTTGGCTCCGTTGAGAGCTCTGCTTTCTTCTGATTGGTTCACATGTGCCTCCGTAGTTTCCGTCGCCGACGCAGCGCGATGACGTAGTTCCCCGACATCCCACGTCCAAGATGGCCGCAGTCGGCAAGGAGAGACGTCGCTGAGGGGTTTGCCTGAGGCGAGGGGTGAGTGACCTACTGATCGCGGGCAGCGCCACCCACCTCCCGCGTACCTAAAGATCGGAGTAGGGTATGGCCAGCTGCCTCCGTCCCCTGGTGGAGTCCCTCTTCCCGGATTCCGCCTCCCTCCGCTACCCCCGGTGCAGCTCGAAGTTAGCGGGCGATGGCGGGGCTGCGGAACGGGCTTCGGGAGAGGGTTTTGAGGCGCAAGAGCGGAGGAGAGAGGCCCGCGCGGACCCTAGAGTAGGTAGCGGCCCTCGCCGAGAGGGGCGGCGCGGGTTTGGGGACTTTGTGGCAGCTGGGGAGAAGGGGCAGGGGTCCTAAGGCGCGCCGCCCGAGACCGCCCACGTCTCTCCAGCGGCTTCGGTGTCTCGGTCCCAACTTTGCTTAGGCCTGAGGCTTCGGCGTCGTTTCGCACGCGGGGCCTCCCCACTCTGGAGTCCGACGAGGACAGAGGAAAAGGCGCTTCCTCGGTCGGGCTCGTCCTCGGCGGGGGACGTCGTGCTTGCCGACCGTCTCCGGGCTTCGGCTGGGTCGGGTTGGGTGGTTGCTAAAGGACTTGCGCTCTAGAAAGTCGGGGTGTTATGTAGAGGTTCTCTAGGAGCGCTTAGACTGTTATTAACTCGCGCAAAACCTGGTCGGTGACGCTTCCTAAGTTCGGGTTGCGGGTTAAATGGAGTTTTCGCTAGATCGTCCGACGTTAGGGGTGACTTCCAAGAGCAGTTACTTGAGGGGGCCCTTTTGTGGTTTTGAAGGTAAGCCTTGGTGATGTCTGTGCGTCTGGCTCTAAGCGGCTCTTCAGGGCCGGGCCGGTGTTGCTCGGCGGCTGAGCGGCGGCCTGTGCGCCTGGAGGTAGGTGCCCCGGTTGGGTTTCCGGTTCGGGGCCCATGTCCAGGTTGCGGGCTGGATCCCCAGGAGGGGGCGTGCAGGAGGCAGCCGAGCGGTGCTTCTCTGCCGTAGATGTCTCTCTCTAAGATAAACGAAGGCATTTAAGTAAGTAAGTAAGTAAATAAATAAATAAGTGGGTCTGTAGAGAGATCTAGCGCAGTGGCTCGCAGTTAGCTGTGGGCGCTCGTTAAAGGTTTGTGTGGATGGTGTGGAACGAAAGCTCCACCAGTTTTGTGTCCCCAACACCGACCTCCGCGCGACACAGAGTGAGCACTCTGTATTGCTGAATGAAGAATGGGTGCCTGGCTGGAGCGGCGGTGTTAGACTTTTTGGTTTAAGACTGTTTGTGTTCCTAGGATGTTTGCCTGCTAAGTAATTTTGACTGCCCGGCCGGGCGTGGCTCAGCGGTTGAGCGTCGACCTAGGATCCAGGTGATCGGGGTTCGATTCCCGGTCAGAGCACGTGCCCGGGTTGCGGGCTGGATCCCCAGTTGGCGGCCTGCAGGAGGCAGCCGATCAATGACTCTCATCATTGATGTTTCTGTCACTCTCCCTCTCCTTTCCTCTCTCTGAAATCAATAAAGATATATTTTTAAAAATAAAAATAAATAATTTTGACTCAGTTAAAGTAACGGAACTTTTTTCACAATTATTACTAGTGCTAGCAAAGTGGAATTATTTTATATGTTTTTTTTAAATATATTAGTATGAACGCTTGTATTGTTTCTTCACTCTTTCATAATCAATCATAGTCATATTTCTTTTTAATATTCAAGTTCCTTGAATTTGTCCAGTGGGAGACCACCGTGCTGGCTGCTATGTCTTCGATAAGCTTCCATGAGTCTGAGCATGTCCCAGGCAGGCCCCTTCCCCAGCCTGGAAAGAAGACCTTATTCTTTGAGGGGATAATGGTGTTGAAAACTAGGATTTGGGTACTGGATGTGTTCCTGATTGTAGGAGTATTGTTGCTTCTAGGTACCTGAAATGGACAGAGCTGGGAGATGTGTGTGTAAATGTGTATACATACATATACATACACACACACACACACACACACATATATATAGCCATCATTTATATTTTCCAATTAAAATTTTAAAGTACAGTTTCTTAATTTTTATTTTATGCATAGGTATATTTGTTTCCTTTGCACTGAAAATCTTGATTCCTATAATAATATCTATATATTTGCCTTATCCAACATTATACAGAAAAAAATGGTTTGACAGTTACAAGTATTAATGCCACTAGTAGCTGCACTACTGAAACAGTTTAAGGTTTCTTTGCAGTTTTTTTTGTTTTTAGACTATATTTCACTCAGGATGGAACAAGGTCAGAAATTATTCATAAAGATTTTGTGTGGTTGTGTTGCCTGTTTCGCATACACTGGGTTTGAGTTTTAGGATTTTTTTCTTTTTTCTTTTTAGTGAAGTTCATGAATATGTTAAATATTTACATCATTCAAAAGTCAAAGTTACAAAGGGACTCCGGCGAACCTGAATGAGCAATGGCTATAGCTGAAACAGTTTGAGCAACAAAATAATGGTACTGTTGGATTATAGCTCAAAGAATAAAATAAATACCAATGAGTTCATACTAATACAAATGAATGACTGAATAAGTGGAGGACCTTTTCTTACAAATCTTTCTTACAAAATAACTCCAAATAATGTTGAAGGGAGAAAGGAAATAGAAAATCACCATTGGAACACCATAGTAGTAATGGTTGCAGTGAGCTCCAGAGGGGAATGCTAGAATTCATGGGCTAAACAAGTACTTTGGGTAGTATTTTGCATTGCAAAATATTTTCAACAAGTGATTACTCGTCACTGTGGCGATTTTAACATTTGTCTATACATTGTTTGCTACCTCTCCTTCCAAGAGGTGGAGCTTCATTGTCTTACCCTTGAGTGTGGGCTGGACCTCATGTCTCACTTCTTAGGAACAGAATAAGGAAAAGGGGAAAGAGTAACTTACACTGAGAACCTGGCAGAACCCATCTTAACCAAATGCTCGAGGTTAGCACCCACAGGACGGAGTCATTCTCTTATCACCTACACCCCGATGTGGTGTGATGAGAAGGGCACTCCACCTCTGGCATTCTTCCTCCAAACTCCAAGTCTGTTCATGGGAAACCATCAGACAAACCTAAGTCAAAGGCATTTTAACCTGCCTAGTACTTTTCAAACGCAAGGTCGTGAAAAACAAGACAGAGAAACTTACATATTAGAAGGTGCTAAGGAAATGTTAACACCTTAATGTATCCTGGAACAGAAAAAGGATGTTTGGAAAAACTGAAATTCAAGTCAAAGCTATAGTTTATTTAATAACGTACCAAAATTATTTTCTTAGTTTTTGATCAACTTACCATGGTTTTTATAAGATGCTGCCATTCAGGGAAGCTGGGTGAAGAGGGTACAAAAATTCTCCATACTATCTTTACAACTTATCTGTAAGTCTACAATTATTTTTAAATAAGGGTGTGTGTTTTTTAAGTCTACGCTATAAAACATATACTCAGGGAAGTCTTGTTCCCAGTGTTCTCACCTTGTTCTTCCCCAAACCCTGTTGGTAGCCATTATTTTATTAGTTTAAAAAAAATAGAGGTGTCTATTCTTATTTCCCCTCCTTTCTTACCTAGATATATTACTAACTTACTGTCACATTATCCTGCCTCTGGCTGGTCCTGGAAATGTCTCCATACCAGTACTTAAAGCTCTTTCTTTTTAATAGCTGCACAGTACACCGTTGTGTTAATGTGCCACACTTTATTCAGCCAGTGCCCTATTGATGGACATTTGGGTTGTTTACAGCTTTTGCTATTATGAATAACACTTTGGTGAATAATCTTTTGCATATGTCGTTCCATATTTGTGATGGTGTTTTCAGAGTAGATTCCTGGAAGTGGGCTTGCTAAAGCAGAGTTGATAAGTGTGTGATTTTGTTAGGTATTGTCAGATTTCCCTCTGTGACAGTTGTTCCATGTTGTACTCCCCCTAGCAACCTATGAGATGGCCTGCATTTCCTTGGCCTTACCAGCAGGATATATGTAAAACTTTTGGTTGATATTGTGAAATTTTTTTGCTGATCTGATAGATGAGAGATGATATCTTAAGACGTTTATGAGCTGCTCATATTTACTGAGGCTTTAGTTAACCAGTCTCTTCCACCCCAAACCATTGCCTTATTCAGTCACACACAAAAGCGTAAATTAGTTCACAAGATTACTTTTCTTCACATACTTAATTCTCCCTGTTGAAGGAAATATTAGGTTCTCTTTAGAGCTCCCAAGTGTGGGGAGGAGGGAGGAGAGCACCCAGCCTGCCATGTCACCTTCCCAAAAGTTAGGCTCCAGATGAACCAAAGGCCCTGGCCCGAGCCTGCCCACTAAACTGCTCTTTTCATGCAAACCAGACTAACGTGGGTCTAGCACCTCTGCTAGACTAACCTTTTTGCTGCCTGCCCTATTTGAAAATTCCTGTTCTTTGATACAGCTTACAACCAATTTACGTGTTACAGTGACCTCAGATGAGTTTCCTTGTTTTTTTGTTTCTTTTCAACATGGAGCTTTTAGAGAATCTTTATTCTGAATAAAAGAGAAGTGGGTGAGAAAGCAAGAAAATTTTAAAGCAGCTACTTCCTTCCCTTGTAGACTCCCTCCACCTGCTCTCCCAAATCACTACACCCACACTTGATAATGTATTGCTCGGTTCAGTGACTTGTGCAGATGTGAATTCACCCAATCTGGTGAATTTTTAAGTGAAAGCACCTAAGGGAAATCGTAAACTAAAAAGGGGGAAATTTGACCAGGTGTTGGTTGGGAAAGATGGATAATTTTGGAGCATGAATCTTTAGCGATTAGGACAGGTCTGGATTTTACTGAATACCAGACTCTAGACTAGCATGAGGGAACTGGTCTAGTGAAGAAAGGCAGAAAGGAAGGTGAGACGGTAACTCTTCCTTTTAAACTGTCATGAAATTTGGGGGTTATTGTACTGGGGGTCACTTATAGTACAGGCGTTCCTCGGTATCCATATGGGATCGGTTCTAGGACTTTCCTAGATACCAAAGTCCATTGATGCTTAAGTCCTTTATTATATGGCATAGAACAAAGCGTGAGAATATGTTAAATTGGCTTTGGAGATAAACCTGGGCTTCTAGCTGCCAATCAGTACTGTTGTTTCTGTGGGAAATTTCGATTCAAAATCAGGTTCAATCTGTAACTGTAGATTGGAATGATTGGAATTGCTTCACGTGGGGTATCCCTGTCCAACTTGGCTTCTCTTTCTCTTAGGATTCTGACATTTTCAGAGAATCTTTTGAAAAGAACAAGTCTACTTCAATAAATGAAGGAGAATAAAGAAAATTCAAGCCCTTCAGTCACCTCGGCAAACCTGGACCACACAAAACCATGTTGGTACTGGGATAAGAAAGACTTGGCTCATACACCCTCTCAACTAGAAGGACTCGATCCAGCCACTGAGGCCCGGTACCGCCGAGAGGGGGCTCGGTTCATCTTCGATGTGGGCACACGGTTGGGACTGTATCCTTATTTCTTGGGCATCTGCTATAGATAGGCTCCCCACCCCCTCTGTACTAAATGGCTCTTGAATATCTCTGTTATCTAATGTTATTCCTGATTTGCGTGGCTCTTCAGGGGTTTTCTATTTCCTGATTTTCATTTAAATGCGTAGACTTACGCCGGCTGGACTAGGCGTGGCTCAGCCGGTGAGCATCCACGTAGGATCTGGGAGGTCGCAGTTCAGTTCCCGTCAGGGCACATGCCTGGGTCGCCAACCTGATTCCCAGTCAGGGGCTTGCAGGAGGCAGCTGATCAATGACTCTCTCATCATTGATGTTTCTATCTCTCTCTCCCTTCCTCTCTCTGAAATCAATAAAAACATATATTTAAAAAGTAAAATATAAATAAATGCGTAGACTTAGCCACTGAGCAGGTGGCCACCAGGAGGAAAATAGCACCCAGTGATCCCAGAGGAAATGTTCCTAAAGGCTGAAGCCCGGCTGTTAACAGGGTAAACTGCACCTTGCTGAGTCTGGGACACGGACTCCGATACCAAGACTCTCATTTACCTGCTTTGCCACTGACAGTGTTTACTTTACCACTGATTTTCTTACTGTTGTTTGTCTTTAGTTTTTCCACGTTTAACTAAGAACAGTAACATAAACATTTTAGACTAAAGTCTTTAACCAGAACAACAGACACTATGATACCCTGGCAACTGGAATAATTTATTTTCATCGCTTTTATATGTTTCATTCCTTCAAGCAGTTCCCAAGATATGTAAGTATTTGAATTTCATTGTAATTCTCTATCACATGGAATTATTTCCTCACAATTTAGTGGACTAATTATGTTTTTATATTTCCAGAAAGTATTTATTTTTACATAGTATATACTATGTATAAACAAAATCAAGTTTGAACTTTGTTTTGTTTTTGTTTTTTTTAATTAACCTCATTCAGGTCTTTGTTTAGGCCGATAATAGACCACAGTCATATTTTACTTTGTGTGAAAGTTTATGTCCCTATTACCTTTGCCAATATAAATTTGGGCTTATAATCAAGACCCAACAAAGGCCAAGAAGGAATAGAAATTTTTTAGGCCATATCGCTCATTGTTCATTTACTCTTTAAATGTACACTAGGTCTTCTGCTCTGCGGGAGACTCAGACAGGGAACCTGCCTCATTAGCTTTTAGCCCCAGATAGATGTTATGACATACAAAATATGTGGTAGAGAGGAGGCCATAGGAGAGGTGCAGAAGGAAGACTGCAGCATTCAAGGGAGAGATTAACACATTGTGGAGGGACAGAGGAATATGCTAGGGAGGAGATGCCACCAGTAAGTTAAGCCCTGACTATAAGTGGGGCTTAGATGTGCCAAGATGAGACATAGCAGTAACCCAGCAGAAACTAGCATGACAAAGACATGGAAGAAGCAAGTAGTAAGTGTCAGCCTAGCCAGGAGGTTCATTTGGCAGGAATGGAACGAGGGCCCTGGGTGGAAAGTAGACTGGGTCAGACTGTAGTGAGTGTTGAACTCCAGGCTAGGGCGTTGGACTTCAGTAGGTAAACTGAAGTGGTTGGAGAATTTCATAAAGATGACAGACTTAACAAGAAGTCAATCTGTTGGGGGTTCTTTCTTTTGCTAAGATTTTTCTTAGTTTTTACACAAGTTCTAGAGGAAGGAGACCGTGTTAGGGTTCGCGTTGTGCCCCTGGCATAGTCAGGACTCTCTGGAGCGTCAGGCATGCAGGTGAGATGGGAGTAGGCAGAGAAGATGGAGATGGAGCAGTGAGACCACCTTGGTGATGTGGGAACTAGACTAGGGTCCAGGCAGCTTGAGCAAAAGGAAAGGTAGCTGGGCACCAGCACAGAGGTAGAACCCACAGAACACACATTTAGTTGTATTCTTTTTCTGTAGTAAAGTTCAGGGAGTCGTTATCTTTAAGATTACAGTGTAAAAAGAGAATTTGTGTCTGGCAATACTTTATGGAGCCAAATTGGAGGGGGGTGAAGTTTTCTTTGAGCTTTTAAGGTATCTCAGTCCTTGTGAATGAGAAAGGGGGAAGTGGTAGAGTGAGGGGACCACTTTGTGGTAAAGGTCAGAAATCCTCACTTGTGCTTCTATCTGAGCTTTGATGGCAGTATCTCAGGAACGTCTGTCTTCCTTTTAGGTAACAGGAGCTTGTTGTCTCTTTCTGGCTGGGAAAGTAGAAGAAACACCCAAAAAGTGTAAAGATATCATCAAAACAGCTCGTAGTTTATTAAATGATGTACAGTTTGGCCAGTTTGGAGATGATCCAAAGGTAAGAATCAGAACTCCTGCCGTTAAGTCTTGAATCCTTGTGTAGCATAAGATAGAGGTCCTTGTGTTGGCAATGGCTGTCTCTCCTGTATGTACTGGTCCCAAGTTCCTAAGAGGGCCTGTGCAGAGGTGCTTCTCCTTGCCTCTCTGTAAGACGGGGGAAGATGGCATAGCCACACTTAGGTAGCACTTGCTACCATGCCAAGTCATGTTTGAGCACTTTTCGAGCGATAGCACATTTAATGGATATAAGCAAAATCCTCTCGCTGTCGGTGCTCCTAGACCCAGAAGCAGTGTGGCTTCTTTGTTTCTGAGGTGATGGCAGCTTCTGGGTAGGTGGAAAGTACCGATGCTGTGTGTGCAAGTACATGTATCTACATGTGCTGTGTGTCTTTCGCTTCCCAAGAATGGTGGAAGGTATCAGTATTTGCAGCTATTTTCAGACACCGAGATTGATATGTTCTAAAAAGACCACTTTCAGAGGCCCAATAACATTTCTAAGAATCATTATTTTATTTCTAGTACTTTTTTTTTTTTAGCTCTGATTGTTTCATCATCTTACTTTTAGTTCTTTTCAGATTTTATCATTGTGCCTTGAGAGGGAGAGAGGAGAAAAGGAACAAAAAATTGTTGTTAAAATATAACTTGAAAAGAAAATAAACAGGAAAGCTCATTTTTTAAAACACTATTTTAGACCTATGATTAAAACTACCTCCCCAACATTTGTTATTTTACTTTTAGGAAGAAGTAATGGTCCTGGAGAGAATCTTACTACAGACTATAAAGTTTGATTTACAGGTAGAACATCCATACCAGTTCCTGCTCAAATATGCAAAACAACTCAAAGGTAAGACAGTTACTAAAAGAGCTTTTTCATTCTGAAACTAAGTCTTTAGGATCGTTTGATGACACTGAGATTGTGCTTCTCAAAAGAGGAAAGCAGAAAATTCGGTGTGTAGAGTACCCTGGCCATAGCTTGCCCAGACAGTTAATACTGTGGCTATTAACACTGCTTCCTTTTGTGTATAAACAGATCCTGCCATCCAGCTGCCAAGCGGTATGAGACAGGAAAATGAGTCAGAATTTTTTAAATAGCCTAATAAAGTCGGCCTTGGAGCCAGCTTTCTTATAAACAGTGGCTCTCAGGGAGTTTGTGTGGCAAGGACAGTGGTGGGGCCTGGACCCACTTGTTTGTCCTTTCCTCCCAGATAGAAGCTCTCTGCTGCGTGTTGGGATGGTGCTGAGGGTGCACCGGGCTTTGTATAAGTACTTGTCATACTTGTCGTTTCTTATGCTGCTGCTTCTTTCTTCCTTTCCCTACTAATTTACCTCTCCCCCCCCCCCC